GCATGGTGATCATTATTGTAAATAAGTACACAGAGCAAATAACATTATATATGCACATATCCCACATCGGCAAAAAAGAATTACTAGTATACACTCACTTGAAAACTGGAAATAACTTCTTCCCGAGTCCCAGTTTCAAATACTCCACGCATAAGTTTACTTTGAGGAGCTGGTTTGTTAAGATAAAGTTTGTACACATCAGTTAAATTATTTAAACTTGTTTCCGATATCCAGTCAAGTCCCTAAAAATAATAAGGACAAAATATATGTTATTTGAATCAAAACAATAATTTTTAGCTTGTAAATAAAATGTAAGCAAAATGAGGGAAGCGTGACAAACCATTATGGCAGATCCCTTGTGATCCTCAGTTTTAGAATAATCTCTTTTGTGTTCCTGAATGAAATCACGCCAAATTTTATTGTTAAATAAATGTTTATCAGCAGCAGTCTTGAGATGCCTTTGAGTACTCGTGAGCCCGGATATTGAGATATGGAGGGCCATTGTGTCTAAGAAGCGGAGACCAGAACGCTTAACTAGAAACAAAAGTTAAGAATACCTGCCATAGATACTCTTCTTTAATCCTTGCTCTATCAAAACTAACAAAGTGTCCAATGATTAGCTTTTTTACAGATAGAGTTGAGTCTCCATAGAAAGGGATCAGATCATTTATTGAGGTATTCTGTCGAGAACATAGAGAAGTGTCTTCAAATAGTGTTGGTGATGCCCAGGAGTACCTAACATAAGTGCTCAAAGAAGATTACCAAGCACTTGGAGAAACAGCAACTGCAATGACAGGAGCGTCGCCCTCATTAACAAGAAGTTCCACATCGAAAACAAAAACGTCTTCCAGAGGGAAATTTACATGTTCAATGGATTCAGAGTATCTTGTCCAACCTGGTGCAAAAACCCACTTAGCAGGCTTTTCTGGAACGGAGACAACAATTTCATCTGCTAATTTTTTGTATGGACCAGTGAGTCTGGCTGAAATGTTTTTAAAGTGCTCTTTTACGTCAGAGCCTAGCAGTGCAGGTACTTTAAAAGAAATAGTTTTTTGGCGAGGTCTTTCTTCAGACAGATCAACACCATGCAACTTAAGTTTGTTTAATATATTCAGGGATGGTTCGTTATATGAATCAATATCTACACCGAATAGGGTGCTTTGCAGGTCCCTGCAAATCATCTGGATCTTTACTTCGTTTATAACTGGAGACTTCGTTTGATTATTTTCAAAATTCGTAGTTTTACACGAATATTTCAACCAAAATGACCCTATATTTAAAGGAGTTCGACGTAAAGGTCTGAGGGAAAGGAGCATGTCGTAGCGGTGGGGGTACGACGAAAGTGGGATTTAAATAGTGCACACGACCTTTAGTAATTCTATTGGCAGATTAAGAGGCAAAAGT